ACCTGTTGGTGCTCACAATTCTTATATTTGCTATACGTTCAAAAGTTAATCTATTGGCAATTTACTTATTCTTAACTTATCACTACTTTCAGTTTTAGTTGTATTTGACCACAAGTCAGCGTTATTTGTAATTGATTAAAAGATTTCAAATTATTTTATTCTATACTGAGTTTATATGAAAATATAAAAATATAATCATTTGTGGAAGACTTGCTTTAATTGATAGTAATTTACTATTACTAATAGTCTATTAGTAAACTACTAGTAGTATTGAGGCAATCATTGAAACAATTGTTTGACGACTTGTAATACTGTTTCAAAAATGATATTTTGGTCACAATTTCCGTCCAAATATTCTAAACAAATAAATAGATATTAACTCAAATGATATGATAACTTAATTTATAATGAATACCAATTGGGATATCATTTTGGATGCTCTTCATGTGCTCCATATTCTGCAAATATAAGGGCCAAACCCAGCGGTCAAAATATCCGATGGGATCGGGCGGTAAATAAGTGCGACTATCCCTTCGTGCGAAACATTGGTCCTTCTCGAGGGTTAAGAAGAACTTCTTGTCACACAAGTCACAAATGGGCCTAAAATTGCATTTTATTCGTATAATATATACTAAAATTGCAAAATAAGAAATATAAGAATACTTATAATTGTAAATCATATGGCCTTCGATGATGAGAAGGGCCGAGTGGTTGGGCGGCTCTTTGCTCAACACGACATCGATGGCTCGCGCAAAGGCCTCCCAATCCATACTTGCCATACTCTCCCAATTCTGGTGTCTGATGGTAGGGCTCACGTCAATCCATTCATGGTTGGGGTCGTCATCGGCCTAAATTGTTATTAAATTTAAAAACATTTTAAAAATAACTTTGACTTCAATTACTCTAAAGAATTGGTCCTGACTTATGATAACACAGTGTTCGAGCTGTTGCTGCAAACGGTCGGCCAAAGTAGACTTCCCACCACATGTTACTCTGAAATCAGTTACACATCAGTTATCACACTATTGACACATCTTAGAGGTTAATATTTATAAATTATTATAAATAAATACCCGGATATTCCTAATACTTTCCATTTGGAAGACATTTTAGCTTAAGAAGTGTTAAAACAAATAATTTACAGAATATATTTTGTTGTGAATTAATTGTTTAAATTGATAAACAATGAAATTATTGACAGGAATGCGTTATAATATAATAAAACCGGTTTTATATAGACAATCTGGACAAAAAATGTCAATATATGATTAATTTAAATTGCTTAATTATAAATATTATAAATTATATATTGAAGAATAATATCAAATTTACATTTTAGTCAAATTTAATTTAATATAAAATATAATTATAAATAAAATCATAATTGGAAAGTATAAAACAATAGTAATAAAAAACATCTACTTATCAATTACCGGCTTATCAAAAAAGATTAATTATTAGGTATTTATAACATTAAATCAAAATTATAGTATATAACATATTGTACGATGATTTTATATAATATTTTATTGTGTACTGTATATCATATAATACAATTCTATGTTATATGCTTCTGTAATGTATATAATTTACTGAATCCCTCAAAACACTATTGTGTACAGTAAAGTTTACTGATCGTGAGTAAACCGGTAAATAATAAATACTGTATTGGACTGTATTCTAGAAACTTGTATAAAGATTAACATTTACAAGTTAATTAGCATTAACAAGTTACATTAACAGATTACAAGTTTAAAATCTAATCTAAATTTTAATTCCTAAATACAGATACAATTTCTGTATGAGGTTCAATTGTTTATTTAGAACTAATTATTTTGTATAAAAGTTATCAAGTACAATATACTATTAATACCGGTAAAATTATTTTAAACCATTCATTGTTAATTTTGAACAGAATATCAAGTAAAGAATTTTTACTATTTTAATACTGTATCAAGAGTTAACTCTAATGTATTTTTTGTCTAATACTGTATATTAATTATTATAGTTTTCTGACAAAGAAATTAAATTTAGGATAAAATCAGATATTTATAAAATAAAACATTACAAATATATTACTGTTAGCTAAATTAGAGTTAGTACTTCACTCTATTAATATCATCAAAACTTAATGGCAGTTGTTTTAAATTAATGATATTTTGCTAAAAATATTTACATTTAATTCATATCATATGATATAACAAATGATAAGTTTGACAAATATTTACAACAGATTTAATTATTTACTTAAATTACAGTATGGTCACGACTTGTCTTATGATTAAATTTCTAACTTTTAATACAGTATTTAAAAATTAAGTTATATAAATATTATATTTTATTCAGAAAATTTTAATTCTAATAAGTTCTAATTAATTTGTTAATTGATATTTAACATTCACAATTTAATGAAAAAATAGAATAAAGTAACATACAGTACATTAATAGTAAGTTAGCAAAGTCTACAGAATATTTGGTTTACACTTCGTTCATAAAGTTGTTTTATTCATTTAAGTAAGTTAATTGTCCTTAAATTTGGGAATACTTGATATACTTATGATAAAGGTCAATTAATTGCAAATATTTGTTAATTATATGAATCCTAAGACATTGAATATCATCTAATGTGTGGTTCAATGAATTGATTGCTTTGATGGCAAGATATGTCAGAATTTGATGAAATTTAATGAATTTTATTGAATGACAAGTTTGACTCAAACTGTTTAAATCAATACAAGTCTCATGTTATCAGTGAATAAAGATGTAGTCGATTATGATGTTGATTGGCTATATACAGAATATAAATATACATTACACAGGTACTTTTAAAGTGACAATAATGTGCCAATGAATACACAAGGGCTGGTGTATTGACTCATTGCATGCATTGGCTGTATTGATAGCAATACAAGTGCCGTACCTCATGTACAGTGCATTCAATAAGTTCTGTTACTAACCGCTTATGAAAGGATTGTTTGTTTACCAAACTTTTCACTCAAATGTTTATACAATCAATAAATTGATTAAAAATTAATAGTATTTCAAAGCAAATCGTTTTCACAATCAATTGAATAGTGGCTGAGAAATGAGAGCATTGGTAGCACTGGTGTTGTGTGTGTTTGTGACCCCTGGCCTCACAGACAATGCGAGTCCACCCCTATTGCGAGTGCCGTTGCATGAGATGCAGTCCGTGCGAAGTCATCTTCACGAAGTGGGAACTGCTGTCAAGTTTGCGTTACCACTACACCATCTCAAGCACTACAGACACAGTCTGCAGCCCATCCCTGAGCCGCTCTCCAACTATTTGGACGCCCAGTACTACGGAGTCATATCTCTGGGAACTCCCGGACAGTCATTCAAAGTATGCCATCGATTGACAACTGCGACCACCGATTGATTCAGTGATAATCGATTGTCTTGTATTGACAGGTAGTGTTCGATACGGGCAGCTCTAACCTATGGATCCCCTCCAAGACCTGTAAGTGGACTGACATCGCGTGTCTTCTCCACAATAAATATGATTCGAAAAAGTCTTCGACTTATAAGAAGAACGGAACCGCTCTTGAGATTCGTTATGGCTCTGGGAGTATGAAAGGCTTCCTGAGTACCGATGTGTTGGGCATCGGATCCGCTCAGATCACAGACCAGACGTTCGGTGAGGCGACCTCTGAACCGGGCATTGCATTCGTGGCCGCGAAGTTTGACGGCATCCTTGGGCTTGGATTCGACACGATTTCGGTGGACGGCGTCACCACTGTCTTCAATAATATGATAAAACAGGGACTCGTTTCGGACCCCATCTTCTCCTTCTACCTAAACCGTGACACCGGTTCGAGTCCGGGAGGAGAGATCATATTCGGCGGATCAGATCCCGACCACTACTCCGGAAACTTTACGTACGTGTCGGTCGAGAAGCCGGGCTATTGGCAGTTCACGATGGATGGGGTGGCCGTTGGCGACTCGAACGTACAGTTTTGCGCGAACGGGTGTCAGGCCATCGCAGACACGGGCACTTCGCTCATAGCGGGTCCGTCCGATGAGATCGCGAACCTCAACAAACTGATTGGCGCCACACCTATAGCTATGGGCGAGTATTTAGTGAAATGCGATGATATCGACAAATTGCCCGAAATCTCGTTCACAATCGGCGGAAAGGCGTTCTCACTAAAAGGCTCTCAATATGTGCTAAAAGTGACACAATTTGGCAAAACCATGTGTATCTCAGGCTTTATAGGCCTGGATGTGCCGCCACCGATGGGTCCGCTTTGGATTCTGGGCGACGTCTTCATTGGTCCCTATTATACTGAATTCGATTTCGGCAACAAAAGGGTCGGATTCGCACCAACCGTTTAGACATTTGAGTCACAAAACTATATTTAATGCAATTAAACGTCAAAACTTAATCACACTTTTGAAGTAGTTTTCAGGAATCGGTTTATTTTGTATTATTTGACAATTTTGTAACAAAATCTCGTATTGAGATAACTATTTAATTTGCTGACAATTCTATTCAGAATTTCAAAAACTTTTTATTTGTAATTCAAGTGATTTTCCCTAACATAGTAAGCAATTAATTAAATTTGATTACCTGAAATACAGTACACAGTATGACAACTAACAATTTCCGTAGGAATATCTACAAGATGATCCTGTAGTACTGTATCGTATAATGTAATTATGATTTACCTTAAATTTACGGCAATTCTGCTGTAGTGCTCATAAAAAATATCACAGTTTTATATTTTGTGATAAATGTTTAATGAATGATTACTTTATTATAATAATAAACGTTTGAAATGAAATACAAATTATTGAAATTAAATCGAGTAATTGTCGCCAAGCATTAAACCAAAGCATAAGTAGTAATAAATGATAACAAATGTTTGTCAACGGAATGTAAGTCTAATGAACAATGAGTTTTCAATTTATAATACAATCAATCATTTGTTCAAAGAGTAGAACCGTTCGGAAGTTTATTTGGTCTAAAGAGTGGCCAAAGAGAGCAACTCCACCACAACTTGTGCTCCAATGCTGTCAAACATAATCATATAATTTATAAATTACTTAAAATAAGAAAACACTACAAAATGTTATATTAATTGTGTCGTCAGTTGTTGTGCGCATCGAATCAGACAAAGGGTGACATCAAAGCGATTCAAACTCTTCTGTACGGATGATATCCCTGTGCTTGAGATGAAGCTCTAGTATAGGGCGCGGAGTTGGCATTGGTTGGGTTGGCAGCGCCGTAAGCATTGGCTGATGCGGTCGGTGCGTCGCCCTGTCCTTGTAGGGCATAGTTAGCGTAATTGGGAGCACCGGCATAACTGCCAACCCGTGCCGGACCATAGCTGGAAGCCTCCTGAGGGTATGTGCCGATAGAAGTGCCTGTTTTGCATATTATTTTACGGCATTACTGTTCACTAAAACCATTACAATCAATGACTCACCACTAGCTTGTGGTGCGGAAGTGCCAACATTTGCAATCACTTGTGCGCCGGGAGTTATAGCAGAGTTGACACCAGCGGCCGGCATATAAGCGCCAACCGCCGCAACAGTGGCCGCCGCGGCGTTAGCAGCGATAGGGGTCTGTGCGACAGGTGTTTGTGTGGCATTGGCAGCGCTTTGTCCAGTAGTCTGTCCATAGCCTGGGTATGCGGTATTATAGGGCCCTATATTGGCATTACGGTAATCATATGTTAATTACATTTTATTTATATTTAATTAAATAAAATATTCAATTAAAAAATGAATATAAAATATAATCACTTAATGTGGGCCTCGTTTGACGCCATAAAGTCCAGACAATTCAGACTTTAGGTAACACAGAGGCCAACCATTTGGCTAATCAATAGTTTCACTTACCATAAGAGTATCCCTGACCCCATCCCTGCGGAGGGTACCCATAGCCGGCCCACTGTTGATAGTTTTGATAGTTAGGCGGTTGAGTCCATCCATTGCCTGCACTATAAGCTCCTGCCTGTTGACCGGAATTCCAAGCGGGCGGGTAGGCCGACGGTATCATTCCATTAGGCATTCCGGGAATGGGTGCCCCAGCTTGTGGTGGCGGTGGTTGTCCAGGAGGTGGGGGCACATGCATTGGAGGTCCAGATTGGTGTCCCCACATGGGGTTCCACGGGGGCATAGCGCCAGCCATTGGATGCCCGCCACCGTGCGGTTGCATAGGA